TATTTATATATTATCTGCAATTATATCTGCAAGTTGTGTGAATAACAGGTTACTTATTGCTGCTTATACTTGTACATACAACAGTAAGGTGTATAAGATAACAGTTCCTTGTTGCTGTAGATATCCTATCGTGGGTTTGTGGCTCGTTGGTCCATATGAATTAGCAGTAGGTGGTATTTAATTCTCTTATTCTGGAAAAGAGGGTTTAATTGCTGAGTAGGACATGTATCAAAGCAAGTGGTGTATATTACTGCCATGTGTCCGTGCATGAAAGGAGATGAATATCTGCTGATGATTCACAATTAGATTAACATTCACCTTTGAAAGCGAGGAAAAGAGAGAGAGAGAAAAAAAAAAACATATTTTCATGATTTTTAACATTTCAATAGTTCATCACGATTCCGCGCCAGCGATTAAAAGCAAGGTCAAAATTGCATACTGTGTTCAGGCTTCATATTAATACAGGAATTTTTTCTCTCTTCGGAATTTTGCGTATGTTACCTTTGGAGCTTTCATATGCTGCAGTGTGAATGTTCAATCTGCAGTGTGTCAGTACAGGTTACTATACTGTATAATTTTTCTGTCTATCTGTTACTCTCCGTCTTTCAGGCTCTCTCTCTGTCTGTCTGATTCTCTCTCTTTTTGTCTCACCATCTCTCTCTCCCTTCCTTCCCCTTCTCCTCCCTCTCTCTTTTCCCACTTTCGCTCTCTTTCCTCTCCCCTACCCCCTCTCTCCGACCCAACTCACCCTCCCCAATGTTGACCTCAACCCACAGGGGTCGGGCGAGGTGTGCCAAGGGTGCCATGACGTCATCGCCGACCGGTTCCTCCTGCGGGTCAACTCGAGGTCGTGGCACCAGACTTGCCTGCGGTGCTGCGTGTGTCAGCTGGCCCTCGACCGGCAGCCCTCGTGCTTCATCCGGGAACACAACGTCTACTGCAAGTCCGACTACACGAGGTGGGTGTTTGTGTGTTGCTTGGGGTGCTGGTGTTGCTTTTGTACTGGGATTATTGGTGAGTGTTGAGTTTTACACACACACACACACACACACACATCGTCTCTCTGACTTCTCTCCTTCTTCCCCAACTTTCTCCCTCTTTCCTTCTCTCCTTTCCCTAACTCTCTCCTCTTTCTTTCTCCTTCTTCCCCTCTCTCCCTCTCTTCTCTCCTTCTTCCTAACTCTCTCCCTCTTTCCTTCTCTCCTTCTTCCCCAACTCTCTCCCTCTTTCCTTCCCTCCCAAGCCACTTCTCCTCTAAATCTTTCCTTTCCTCTCATTTATTCATCCTCCCTCTCCCTCCCTCCTTCCCCTCTCTCAGACCCACACTTTCCCTCCGTCCCTCTCCCTTTTCCTCTTCCCCTCTACCTCCCTCCTTCCTTCCTCCCTTCACCCTCGGGATAAGAAGGAAGGGATTAGGAGACGGTACAATCAGCCAATTACAAGCGGTAGTTTATTAGCGGTTGTTTCGCCTCATCAATACTCCTCCCTTTCTCACATGAGGTCTCTCCCTTTCTCTCTTTCTTTCTTTCTTTCTCTTTTTTTCTCTATCTGTCTGTCTGTCTCTCTCTGCTCTGTCTGTCTGTCTGTCTCTGTCTGTCTCTCTGTCTGTCTGTCTGTCTGTCTCTCTCTCTCTCTCTCTCTCTCTCTCTCTCTTTCCTGCTCTTTCTTCGATTGTGGAGGATGGGGAGGGGGGGGGGGTGAAGGGGCTATGGGAGATGGCGTATGCATGTGTAGGGGTGGTGTGGATGTGTGTTTGTTTGTTTGTTCTATAGGGCGGGAAGGGGGCGGGGGTATGGGCGTGGTGAATATGTGTGTTTGTGGTGTGTCAAGGGAATAGGTATGTGTGTATGATGAGGAGGGTTACACAGACATGAACGTACACACAGACACGTACACATGCGCCTACACGTCCCTCATCCCCTCTCCGCCGTCTCATCCTCACTTCCTCGATCCGTCCTCTTAACTCTCCCTTTCTCCTTCCTTCTCCTCCTTCCACCCCTCCCTCACTCCATTCTTCCCGGTCCTCCTTCCTCACCGCCTTCTGCTCCCTCTCTCCTCTAGTTTCCCTTCCTCCTTCCCACCCACTTCCATCCTATCCTCCAATCTACCCTTCCTCTCCCATTTCACCCTCCATATCCATCCTGTTCTTTCTTCCCTCCTCTCTCCATCCTCTTCCTCTTCCTTCCCCCACTCCATCCTCCACCTCCTCCTCCTCTATCCTCTTCCCCTCCCTTTTCCCTCCATTCCCCACCCTCTCAACTCCAGTCCCTTCTTCCCTCTCACCCCACCCCCTTCTCCCTCCCTCTTCCCTCCATCCCCCATCCCCTCATCCCTCCATCCCCACCCCTCTTCCCTCTTCTATCTCACCCCCACCCCATTCCTCCCTCCCTCTTTCCTCCATCCTCCCCACCCTCTCTTCCCTCTCAACCTCCACCCTTCCTCTATTCCCCCCCCCCCCATACCACGACTCTCACAGTTATGACAAAACGTTATGACACAGCTAATGCCAGTCTGCCAGTCGTCATCATCAGCTGGGGATGTTGTTGTCATTCTCGCAACACCTGGATACCCACGTGGCTTTGGCTGGGTTCGCGTGAGGGAGGGAAGGAAGGGAAGGTGGGAGGGAGAGAGAGAGGGAGGAGGGAGGAAAAATGGGAGGAAGGTAGGAGGAAGGGAGGGAGGGAGGAAAACGGAGTGATGGAAGTTGGGAAGGAGGGGAAGGTGGGAGGGACGGGAGGGAGGGAGGGAGGAAGGGAGGGAGGAGGGAGGAGGGAGGAAAGGTGGAGGAAGAAGGGAAGGTAGGAGGGAGGGATGGAAGGGGAGGAGGGAGGGGAAGGGGAGGAGGGAGGGAAGGAAGGGAGTGAGGAAGGAGGGAGGGAGGGACAGGGGAGTGAAGGGGGAAGGGAGAGAAGGGATGAAGGGTAGGTGGGATGAGAGAGGGAAGGAGGGAAGAGAGAGAGAGGGAGGGGCAGGGCAGGAGGGAGGGAGGGTCATACAGACAGACAAAGGTAGAGACAGAGATGAAGACACGAAAAAAAAATATATATATATATCCTCACCTTTTTTCCTACATCTCTTTCCTCTTCTTTTCACGTAAGACACACCAACAATTCCCGGATGTTCCCTTCACAAAGCTATGAAAACCCAACGTAATAACGCGCTTCCTATACACACACCCCCTCCTCCCACCCCTCCACCCTTTCCACCTCTTCCCTCTCCTCCACCTCCCCACCCCCTTCCCCTCCCCCACCCACACTATCAACCTACTCCTCTCCTCTCCCTCCCTCCCTCACTCCCTCCAAGCCATCTTGACTCTCACACCCCTCTCCTCCCTACCCCTTTCTCACACCCCAACCTCCCCTCCCAACCCCACTTTCACCCATCTACCTACCTCTTCTCTCATTTTATATCCCCATTCCCCCTCCCACCTCTTCTACCCCATACCCTCCCTCCACTCTCCTCTTCCTCCTTCCCTCCACACTCTACTCCCCCTTTCCCTCCTCAAACCCTCTCCCCTCCTCATCCTCCCTCCACCCCATCCTCCCCCTTCCCTACATCCACCCCACCCTCTCCACCCCCCACACCACACCCTTCCACCACCAACTACCCACCTCCACGCCTCCCCACCCATCTTACACCCTGCCCTCCCCACCCTACATCCACCCACCCTACTCCATACACCACACTTCCAACCAGCCCCATCCCCCTAACATCGCCACACACTCCTCCACATCCCACCTCCACCCTCCTCTTCACCCCACCTGCCTCTTAGCCCTTACATCCACCCCCCACCCAACCCCACCCTCCCTTTTCAAAACACGAACATCCTTCAAAACTAAATCATAAAACATCCAATTGCGGAAGACGATATGCAAATGAGTTTTTTTTATCCCTTAATTAGCATCGGGAAGACGTCAAACTCCTTAGCGAAATGAGTCAGCAATTTTTTCACCTTTCTTTTGGGGTCATTATTATTAACTATTATTCATTTCTCTCTTTCTCCGTTTTTTTTTTTCTTTTTTGTTAATTGTTTGTTATAGTCAGTAGCAAGAGGGGTGTCTCTTTCTCACGACTTCCGGTGAAAGGGTTGAAAGGTGTCACTGTGTTGTTTAGAGGGGGTTTGGGGTGGGGGTGTAGGGGGAGGGGTTGGTGCAGGTAAGGATTGGGGGTAGCGGTAGGTGGGGGGATGAAATAGGGGATGGGATGGAAGTAGAAGGGAGGGGAGGGAATTAAAAGGGGAGGGGAGGGGCAAAGGAGAGGAGTGGGAGGAAGAGGAGAATGAGGAGGAGGTGGAAAAAGAAGGGGAGGAGGGAGAGGAATAGGAAGAGGAAGAAGGGGGGAGGAAGGGGAGAGAGAAGACGAAAGAAAAAACGGAGAATAGAAAGAGTAGAGGGGTAGACGAAAAGAAAAGAGAGATGAGGGAAGTAGGAATAAAGAGACAGAAAAGAAAAAGAGGAATAAACAAGAACAGGAGGATAAATAAATGGAGAGAGAAAGAAGAGAGAAGGAAAAGAGAAAGAAGAGAGAGAAAGAAGGTGAGAAGGTGGAGAAGAGAAGAGAGAAGGGAGAAGGTGGAGAAGAGAAGAGGAGAGAGAAGAGAGGATGGGAGGAAGAGGGAGGCAAGTGATGAGAGGTAATATTGATAATCATTTGTCATGTTCTAAGGTGGAAGTGGGGAAGGGGGGAAGGGGGGGGTCGTGTCATGTTGGAACGGTTGATGATGGTAATAATAATAGTTATTATAATTAACAATGATGATTTAATTATTATTATTAAAATCATTACAATCATCATCGTTTATATTATTATACAGTAATAATGATAATATTGAATATATATTAATAATAGAATTGAAAATATCATTAAAAGTATAAAAAAAACATGCGTAGTAATATGAAAATATGTAATGACATATAGTACTTATAGTAAATATTATATAAAAAATAGTGCATATATTTCCGTGTTAGCATTCGCATATCGTGTGTGTGTGTGTGTGTGTGTGTGTGTTTGTGTGTGTGTGTTTATGTGTGTTGTGTGGTTTGTGTGTGTATGTTTGTTATGTTTGTGTGTTTATGTTATGTTTGTTTAGTGTGTTTATGTGTGTTTATGTGTGTTTGTGTTTGTTGTGTGTTTGTGTGTGTGTGTGTGTGTTGTGGTTAGTGTGTGTGTGGTGTGTGTGTGTGTGTTGTGTGTGTTGTGTGTGTGTGTGTGTGTTGTGTGTGTGTGTGTGTGTGTGTGTGGTGAGTGTGTGTGTGTGTGTGGTGTGTGTGTGTGTGTGTGTGTGTGTGTGTGTGTGTGTGTGTGTGTGTGTGTGTGTGTGTGTGTGTGTGTGTGTGTGTGTGTTGTGTGTATGTGTGTGTGTGTGTGTGTAGTCGTGTATGAGTCCGTATAGGCGTTTGAGTGTCTTTCATGTTTGTGTATGTCTTTGTACTTTAATGTGTAGAGTGTGTATGTGTTTGTATGTATTTATCTTTGTGTGTATGTTTATTTTTACGGATGTGTATGTTTATGAACGTGTATGTTTATGTGTTTATGGATATGTGTGTCTGTTTATGTATGTATATGTTTATGTATGTGTATGATGTGTGTATGCTTATTATTAGTATGTGTGTGACTTTGTATGTATATGTTTAGGTATGCGTATGCATATGTATGTATGCTTATGTATGTATATGATTTTTATGATTTTGTATGTGCATGTTTATGTATGTGTATGCTTATGTGTGTATGCTTATGTGTGTATGTTTATGTGTGTGATTGATTTTGTTTGATTTTGTATGTGTATGTTTGAGTGTGTGCATCTTCATCAGTGCGTTTATTTATGTACACATGTGCGTGTTCATGTGCGTAACTGAGTGTTTGAATGCGACTGAACTTGTACATTGTATTAAAAAAGAAAAAAGAGAAATAAAGAGAAATACCTTGCCTTAAAAAAGAAAAAGAAAAAATTATAAAGAG